ACAGGCAGGACAAGATCTTCTCTTTCATGTATGCAGGTCGGTGGGTTTGGGGTGTCTTGGAGAAAGACAAGAGACAGAGGTTAAGAGGAAAAGAAAGGAGTGGAGCATTAAAGAACAACTTTAAACAACATTAAAGAACAACAACAAGATGGTCCCGAGATAGAAGAAAATGTGAAGAAGAAACTCAAAATAACCTTGCTTTGATATTGTTGAGTATAGGATTGAATAACAGAATTATAGAGTTGGAAGGGACCTTGGAGGCCATCTAGTTCAACCCCCTGCTCAGGCAGGAAACCCTGGCCTATACCATTTCAGACAACTGGCTGTCCAGTCTCTTCTTAAAAACCTCCAGTGTTGGAGCATTCACTGCTTCTGGAGGCAGGTTGTTCCACTGGTTCATTGTTCTAACTGTCAGGAATTTTCTCCTTAGTTCTAGGTTGATTAGTTTCCATCCGTTGCTTCTTGTCCTGCCTTCAGGTGCTTTGGAGAATAGGTTGACCCCCCCCTCTTCTTTGGCAGCCCCTTAGATATTGGAACACGGCTATCATGTCACCCCTAGTCCTTCTTTTCATTAATCTAGACATACCCAATTTCTGCAACCGTTCTTCATATGTCTTAGCCTTCAGTCTCTTGATCTTCTTCTTCTTATTATTATTATTTCCATGGGGAAAGCTGCATTCACTTAACCAACACATGATTCATTTAATGATTTGCTTAACTACATGGTTTTTAAAAAAAGGCCATAAAATTGGGCGTGATTTATTTAACAACTGCCTTGCTGAGCAACAGAAATTCTGATGGAAGAGGAACTTACCGTAAGGGAATGTGAACTTGGCACTTGTCTGCGATTCCATAAAACAGCTACATCTAACAGCTATTTAAATACATTTGTCAGGACAAGTATAATGTTCTTTTTGTGTGATATAGCATTTCCAAGAAGTTTAGAAATATTTTTGTAGAAGAAATAATATGTGTGATTGGTCAGGATTTTTAGTTGAGTGGGAATCGAAAAGCAGGGATGTGCAAATGTTTCAAATTTGAAATGTTTTTGAATTCAAAATGTTTCCTGCTTTACTGGAAGAGCGAATAGGGCCCAGCCTGGTCAGAAAAATTCTGATGTTATTCTAATTATTTTGGAAAGGTTCCTGGGTTGAAAGTATTGTATTTTCAGCTTGAAACAGTTGTTTCCATGTTGGAACACTTCCAGTAAGATTAGTCAGTTCTATGTGTTACAGCCTTTAAAATAGGTATCAATAAAAGAAAATTTTAAAAAGAACGGGGAAAAAAAGAGAGCTTGATGTTAACCTGAGATCAACCAAGGTTACTCAGAATGGTTTGAAAAAGGCTACACAAAAGGAGCTTTAAAGCGGGTTGAGAAGCAAGATTGAGCAGTCCAATGGACTGAAGGGAGAAGATTGCGAGTTCTAGTTCCGCCTGAAAGCTGGTTGGGTGACTTTGGGCCAATCACCAGGAGACAGTGAGTTCTAGTCCTGCCTCAGACATGAAAGCCAGCTGTCTAACTTTGGGCCAGTCACTAGCAGGCGGAGAGTTCTAGTCCCATCTTAGGCATGAAAGCTGCTGGGTGACATTGGGCCAATAACCAGGAGTCTGGGAATTCGCTGGGTGACATTGGGCCAATAACCAGGAGTCTGGGAATTCTAGTCCTGCCTCAGGCCTGAAAGCCAGCTGGGTAATTTTGGGCCTGTCACTGTCTCTCAGCCCAACTCACTGTTGCTGTTCTTGGTAACATCGGAGGATGAAGGAGTACTATGTATGTTCACTGCCTAGAATAAAGGCGGGTTAATAAATAAATAAAATAAAAAGTAAATTTAAACCACTCATTAGGACCTCTACTCCCAGTGAGATTGGAAGCAGATTGAAACAAGGTGTCCTGACAAGGTCAGAATCGTTGTTTTGAAGTGGAAATGTTTTGAATGCAAAATGCTTTGTACATGGCTAGTAAGTATGAAATAAGATATGAGGTACCACAGATCAGAGATAGCACCGAAGAAACCAGATTGAAGCCAAGGGAAATAATGCTGTTACTACGTGTAGTTTCCTTAATTAGATAATGAAGCATAACGTCCAGCTTGTAGCACCTGTTTCTGAACTCTAATCCTTGAATAGCCTTGGGCAAAAAAAATGCACCGACGTATTTTCCCACTGAATCAAAATGAATCAGAATGAAGAATAAAGAAAAGATTACCTACTCTGAACCAAAACCAGAGCATTGATTGGTTTCTGATATATAATGATTTTAATGTATGCTTCTGGTTACGCAATTACTGTGAATGTAATTCCTAGGAAAATTGTTACACCGTAGGAAGCCTATAATAAGGAAATTATACTCACTGCCTCTAATGTGTTTGCCAAAATAGGTTATTCACCATTTTCTCTGAATGACATGATTATAATTTTTGCGTTGGAGTTCTTTAATTGTAAACTGTGGGAACTAAACTTATTATAAAATAAAGCTGGAGTATTAGTATCATTTTGAGTTGCAGGGACTTAACGATGTGGAGATTGTCTCCTACTTTATAGAAGGTGTATGGAACTTGGATTTATGATAGATGAGTATAGTATTCCACTCACAACCACAATTAAGCTCAAACTTTCTGTTGCTAAGTGAGACGGTTAAGTGAGTTTTCCCCATTTTATGACCTTTTTTGCCACAGTTGCGAAGTGAATCACTGCAGTTGTTAATAATATGGTTGTTAAGTGAATCTGGCTTCCCCATTGAGTTTGCTTGTCAGAAGTCGCCAAAGATGATCACATGACCCGGGACACAGTGACCGTCATAAGTATGAGTCCATTGCCAAGTGTCTGAAGTTTGATCATGTGATCATAGGGATGCTGCAATGGTCAAAAGTGTGAAAAATGGTCATAAATCAAATAATAGTAGTAGTAGTAATAATAAAATAAAATAAAATAAAAGTTGGACGGGACCTTGGAGGTCATCTGGTCCAACCCACTGCTTAGGCAGGAAACTTTATACCATTTCAGACAAATGGCTGTCCAGTCTCTTCTTAAAAACTTCTATTGTTGGAACGTTCACTGCTTCTGGAGGCAAATAGTTCCACTGATTAATTGTTCTGTCAGGAAATTTCTCCTTAGTTCTAGGTTGCTTCTCTCTTTGACTAGTTGCCATCTTTTTCGGTGCCATTGTAACTTTGAACGGTCACTAAATGAACTGTTGTAAGTCAAGGACTATTTGTGCATTTTCAGTATGTGGGGTCCTGGGTGCTTTCTGAACGGTGGTTGTTTTCTTGCAGATGTTTCATTACTCAAATTAGGTTACAGTGTCCCTCATTTAAACCCCTAGCTACAGAAATTATTTTTTATTTTCAGTATGGTTTTTGAGCCGATTCTGTGAGTTTTATGGTCTTTCTAAAACTTCCATGGTGTGTAATTGGTTTAATACTTTATGTAATACAGTATTGTGATTTAGTCTTTAAGAAATTTCAAAAACCAAAAAGCAAGTTAAACAGAATCTTAAGTACATCGGTTTTTGAACGCATAAAGCCAGCAGCTCTAAACCTCATTAATCTAAAACAGGGGTAGGCAACCTTGGCTCTTTTATGACTCGTGGACTTCAACTCCCAGAATTCCTGAGCCAGCCTGGGTCAGCTTGGAAACTCTCCCTTTCCCCTCAGCATGGCTGGCTCAGGAATTCTGGGAGTTGAAGTCCATGACTTCATAAAAGAGCCAAGGTTGCCTAGCCCTCATCTAAAAACATATATGGGAATGTCACTATGGAATGAACAAAAAAACTTTCTCTGCAAAAGAAGCAATATAATGTTTTGTTACTTGAGCTTGACTTATCAGTCATATTTCCCTAGCTCTAGGCATCTTCTCTTGTTTGTAGAGTTCTGCTTTATGTCTGGGGTTTAATATTTGGGTTTTATTATAATATTGCCTGTTCAAGTCAGTCATCGTAGTCTTGCCTATGGCTTAAAATTCGGTGGGCAACTTTTTTTTTTCCTGTTGTCATCTACAGTTGTTTTGTTGGAGGCCACAGGATGGGTGGAATTAAAATGAACTAGATCCAAAAGGAAATAGTGATATTCATTCTCTTTCTGACAACCCTTTTTCCCAATAACCTCTTTCATCTCTCTTAAGTAGTATCCTAGAGAAAAAGACAAAAAGCTCTTACGGAAGAGATTATCTCCTCCATAAGAATTTCGATCTAGCTAAATCCAGTCTCAGGAACATTGTTTGCTGGTCCCTGGTTTAAAATATTCAACTTTTTCTTAGGTCTTTACCTCATAAGGGTACAGTGGATACAGGTAGGCCTTGATTGATGATCACAATGGAGCACAGAATTTCTGTTGCTAGTTGTTCAGTCAGTTTTGTCCCATTTTACGACTTTTCTTGCCTCAGTTGTTAAGTGAATCGCTGCAGTTGTTAAGTTAGTAACATAGTTATTAAGTGAATCTGGCTTCCCCATTGACTTTCCTTGTTAGAAGGTCACAAAAGGTGATCACGTGATGCTGCGACATTGCAACTGTCATAAATATGAACCAGTTGCCAAGCGTCCAAATTTTGATGAATTGATGAACGTGGGTGTGAAAAATGGTCATAAGTCACCTTTTTCAATGCTGTGGTAACTTTGAATGGTCACTGAATGAACCATTGTCAGTTGAGAAGTACCTGCATATTTACTTCAAGCATGTTTCAAGTAAGATCTAAGATGACTTTGGAATAGCTGACTTGTTATCCAGGTTAGTCATTTGTTCTCTGTTTGGACTGTGTTTTGTTCATTTCATATCCATCCAATGATAATTTCTTCTCGCGTCGTTATCTCAGTTTTTATGAAAATTATTCTAGATTAAACATCATAAGCAATAACGAGTGTCTCCAGGAACTGGAAATTGAAGTCTCTTTTTCCGTATTATTCTCTTGGGAGGTAAATAAACTGTTTACAGTAGCTGCAAACTGAGATTAGGGATTTTACTCCAGACTGACCTGTTTGGTGGCACTAATCGGCGTTAGCTACAAAATATGTTGTCATCCTCTTTGCAAACACGCTGTGTTTGGAATCGGTCCATTACTCAGCTTGCAAATAATATGTCTATGCCAAGCAGGGGTATTTAGCAGAATCCCTTCTCAATATTTTTTTTCCCTGACTCTGGGGCTAAATCTGTATGAAACGGGTGCATTAGGGGATACAGTCTCCCCGTTCGGGAAATGGACCTCTTTGCAAAAGAATAAGCATTTGCTAAAGATGTTTTGAAACTGGCAAACATCTGAGGTTGATCAGAAGCATGTTTGCATCGCTTTGCGCCTGGAGATGGATTTGACTAGCCCTGGTTAAGCAGAGATGAGATGTCGAGGACTTTGGCTTGGCTCTTTCTCCTGCATCAGCAGCAGCAGCATCTATAAAGCATCTTGGGAATTGCTTGCCGTACGGCGAGAGCAAACTGGTCACATGAGTCTGAATTTTCATTTTAGTTCATTAGTCAGCCATTTTGGTCAACACCCTCTTTAACTGCGCACAATCCAATCCTATTATCCTTCCGAATCTGGGTTGATCGGAAGGGGGCAAGAGAGAGAGAGAGAGAGAGAGTGCAGCTGTAGACCTCAGTGGATCCTGGATACCTTTTTCTTTGTGGTTATTGTTCTGTTGTTTTGCCATATTTTTTTTTTTTAAAAAAAGACAAGGCTTTTTCTAAGAGACCGCAAAGAGGGCTGATTTTTTTCCCCCTCCTCTCCTGATGCAGAGGCCGTGCGTGAAGGGGTTATTCAGGAATAATAGCTCCTAGTCACATCGGTTGTGCGTGTTGTGCATGGGTGTGCAGCCTTGCAGAAGAAAAACGGAGAAAGGGGAAACAGCTGAGAAGGGGTCTCTTTCCCCTCCTTCCCCTCTGCCTCGCTTTCCTCAAAAGTAGTGCATTGTCTGATCTCCAGAAAATCTTTCCCAAGCCGGCCATCTATTGGATTTTTGATTATTATTTTTGGGGGGGTTCTCTTCGAGGGGAAGATTTCTTTTTTATGGTTTTGTTTCATTTTCGCTTGATTTTATTCTATTTTTTCCCCACATCGGCTTTATTGTTGTATCCGCTGAGTCATCATGTCTGCTCTGACGCCTCAAAGCGATACGCCGACTCCCACCACAGACAAGATCACCCAGGCTGCCATGGAAACGATCTATCTGTGCAAATTCCGGGTGTCTATGGATGGAGAATGGCTCTGTTTGAGGGAGCTGGATGACATCTCTCTTACGCCTGACCCCGAACCGAGTCAAGAAGGTACGGTTTGCCTGAAACCTGCCAGCCAACCCTGGTTGTTGCGGTGCAAAGTGGTAGGGTTTTGATGTTTGCGTTCCCAGCACACCACCCAAGCGTAGCCGTTTCACCGTACGTGGAATAACCTTGTTTCATTTGAATGTGGACCGTGCTGTTGATTCTGATTTTTAAAAAAAGGAGTCGCTTGGTGGAAAGCGGAAAGGCTGGCTAAAGACGAAGGTCAACAGCGGGGAAAATGGTTGGCTTATTCTGTTTTTCTAGGCACCTGCGCTCTTTGCAGCAAGATCTAGCAGACTAACCTGAGGCTGTGCCTTCTCTTCTGCACTGGAAAGAAAATTCATCTTGACATTTAAAGATGGAATTTCAGCCTCCTAAACTACTGTTGTTATTTTTTTTAGCAAAAGGAGTTTATTTTTCGTAGAGGACAATGGCCAAAAATAATGGGGTTAGGTCCAGCCTAACCTAACCTACTACTACTACTACTACTACTACTACTATTATTATTATTATTATTATTATTATTATTATTATTATTATTATTATTATTATTATTTTAGCAAAAGGGGTTTATTTTTCATAGAGGACAATGGCCAAAAATAATGGGCTTAGGTGCAACCTAAATTACTACTATTATTATTTTTAGCAAATAGGGTTTATTTTTCATAGAGGACAATGGCCAAAAATAATCGGCTTAGGTGCAATAATGTAATTAATGTAATTACATTATTAATTAATGTGATGTAATGGGATGAGGTATAAAAATGAGGTTAGGGAACGAGGCTAAAACACATGAAGAACGGTTGCTGGAATCTGGTAGGTCTGGTTTAATGGAGAGAAGGACTAGGGATGACATGATAACAGTCTTCCAGTATCTCAGGGTTTGCCCCAGAGAAGAGGCAGTCAACTTATTTTCCAAAGCACCTGAAGGCAGGACAAGAAACAATGGATGGAAACTAATCAAGGAGAGAAGCAACCTAGAACTAAGGAAAAAAATTCCTGACAGTGAGAACAATTAATCAGTGGAACAACCTGCCTCCAGAAGTTGTGGGTGCTCCATCACTGGAGGTTTTTAAGAGATTGGACAATCAGAATGTCACAGGGTTTCTGCTTGAGCAGGGGGTTGGACTAGAAGATCTCCAAGATCCCTTTATTCTGCTGAAGCAGATGGTTTTAAAAAAAGCATGCCACCTTTGGGTATAAAAGGAATGATATAGTTTAAAATTTAGATGGTGTAAATTGATAATGTGTCCTTTGGGGCTTTAAGACAGACTTCATAGTGGCTGGTGGTGGCTGGCTTTGACAGGAGAGGAAATAAGTAGGAAATTATAGGGGAGACAGGATTATTATTTATTGTATGACAAGGGGATACAGGAAATAGAACTGTAAGCAGTAAACGGTATTATTTAATCTCTGGTTTAAAGATTTCATTTTAAAATCAGGAAGCACCCGGTGAAGGTGATTTGAATTTAGTTCCCTTTTTAAATCTCTACCGACTGCTTTTTTGCCATAACATCTTTCTTTGAAGCAAAATGAAAGCATTTAGTCTTTTGCAATATCACGCCCCAGTGTAATATTCACAGGTGTGGAATCCACCTGCTGTTTGACAGTTATCACAATGGGCAACCCTGGGTTACCTCAGCCGTTTTCAAGGTGAGGGTAATCTCTTGTATAAAACCCGAAGTTAATTGAGGTGGTTTCTCATTCCTTACTTTCACAGAGAGTAGCCAGTTTATTTTTTATTTCTTTATTGTTGGTTTGCATCTCTGACTTACACATGAAGCGCAGGCTCCCTGCTCAGTTGCCATTTTGTGTGGCTTTCCCAAAGGTGCTTTTTCCAAGAGGCAGCTGGACTTCCTTTGTTTCTCCTTGAAGATGTTTCGCTTCTCCTCCAAGAAGCTCCTTCAGTTTTGACTGAATGGCTGGGAATGGAAGTATTTATATTCCTCGCAGTCTTCTGTTCGTTAGCACTCCTTCTGAGAGTTGTTGAGGCCACTTTGAGGTTCATTCGTGTCCTCAGGGTCACCTGAATACATGTAGTCCTTGACTTACCACCACAATGGAGCCCAAGGTTTCTGTTGCTGAGTGAAACACTTCTTAAGTGAATTTTGCCCCATCTTACGACCTTTAAGCCGATCACTGCAGTTATGAAGTTAGTAACACGGTTGTTAAGTGAATTTGGCTTCCCCTTTGACTTTGTTTGTCAGAAGGTCACAAAAGGGGATCACTGCAACGGTCATAAATATGAATCAGTTGCCAAGCGTCCGAATTTCGATCATGTGATCATGGGGATGTAAGTGTGAAAAACGGTCGTAAGTCACTTTTCTCAGTGCCATTGTAACTCTGAATGATGATCACTAACTGAACCGTTGTAAGTTGAGGACTAACTGTAGTGCAAATTTGGCGTGGAACTTTATTGGGACTGTGTTGTAGACTGGAGATAGGTGATGTTGTATCCTTCCCCCTTTGTTGAGAGAGGGCTGTTCAGTTTTAGTATAGATGGCCTCTTTGACCCCTCTTTCAAAGCAGCGCCCCTCTGTGTCCAGAACATGGACTTTGCTTTCTTCAGAATAGTAGCTTTGGTTTTTCAAACGCCGATGGGCTGCTGAATTCAGATGGAATTGAAAAAGCACCTTTGGGATAACCCTGTCCTGGAGGACTGAGAATCTCCATAGACCAGTTGTTCTCAACCTTTTTAATGCCGCAACCCCCAACAGGTCGTAGGTCAAGGACTACTCAACCGGTCGTAAGTCGAGGACTACTCAACTGGTGCAGCACCGTTTGCAGACTGGGGCTTTTGGCGGGCTCAGCAGGGCAGAGACAGCCTGGACAATTCCTATTGGCTTTTGAAAGCCAATAGAATTAGACTCTATTCAAGAGAGTCTATTCTATTGGCTTTCAAAAGCCAATAGAATAAAAGGGAGTAGCACAGCTAAGGAAAAGGGGGAAAAAATGGCGGACTGCGTTGTTTGGCGACCCCCGTGAAATGGTCGTTCGACCCCAGATGGGGTCCCGACCCACAGGTTGAGAACCACTGCCATAGACACTTCTCTGACTTTGTTTTTCTAATCTCTGCTTCTAGCTGAGAAGATTTCCAGAAGGTTTGGCATCCCTCATGCAATGGCCATAAATTACAAGCTCTAGATAAGAAAGCAGCATCCTATTTTCCTTGGGGAAGTTTCATATGATAGGAAATCTAATTTTATCATATGGCCCCACTGTTATGCACTTAGAGCACTCACAGACACTCCCCTACATTTGAGAGGATTATTCAGTTCTTACCTGGAAAGGCAGATAAGAGGAAGTGGAGGGTAATAAAATGAAACCGAGCAAATGATTTTAATATGTGGAAACTGCATTTTGCAGCAGACTATCCTGCTTTTAATATCTGTTTAATTCTTCACTGTGCTATCAGCCCGTTCTACTTCTACCTGCAAACATTGGAAAGGATGTATTTAAGATGCCACTTTCTCTTCAACTCAGATCTCAGCTTGGATGTTTTTTTTTTAAGGGTTTGTTTATACAAATTTCTTTGAGATGGACCCTGCTGTTGCTTTATTTCTAATAAATATATCATAGGTCCGTTGTAACTTTGAACAGTTGCTAAGCCACTGATCGTTAGATTTTTGCTCAGCAGTGAAACATGGAAGGGGGGAACCAAGGGCCTTCATTGGAATTATTTTCCTATTTTTTTCCCACAAGAAAATCACTCTCTTCATTATTTAGGACAGTGGTTGAAAACTCTACATGCCTCAAAGTTGTGAATTATTTACCACAGCGTGATTATCAGTAAAGGCAGCTAAGAGGTAATAGTAAGTTCATAGAATGTATAATGCAGCCAGCACAGAAGGGTCTCTTATGGAAAACACAGCAAGATGGAAAGTCAAAAGGCTATTTTAAGCAGTGCAATTTACCTAATATTAATTCTGCTATTTCCAGGATTTATTTTCTCATATCCAAACCCTTTATTTTTTTGATCGATTAATGCAGCGGTTCTCAACCTGTGGGTCGGGACCCCATTTGGGGTCGAACGACCATTTCACGGGGGTCGCCAAACAAGGCTGTCCGCCATTTTTTCCCCCTTTTCCTTAGCTGTGCTACTCTCTTTTATTCTATTGGCTTTTGAAAGCCAATAGAATAGACTCTCTTGAATAGAGTCTAATTCTATTGGCTTTCAAAAGCCAATAGGAATTGTCCAGGCTGTCTCTGCCCTGCTGAGCCCGCCAAAAGTCCCATTCTGCAAACGGTGCTGCACCAGTTGAGTAGTCCTCGACTTACGACTGGTTGAGTAGTCCTCAACTTATGACCGGTTGGGGGTCGCGGCATTAAAAAGGTTGAGAACCACTGGATTAATGGATCGCCAAGCATATAAGCTTGCGGCCATTCCTTTTTTAAAAAAAGAATGTATTGTAGAAGTAGTTTATCCAAATGCTTTCAACTTCCACCCTTACAAAATAGCGTTGCGTTCTGCATTCCAGAAAGTCATTGTAAACAACGCTGCCTCACTTTTTAAATTACTTGATTTATACGGATTTATTTATTTATCTGATTTATCTGCCGCCCATCTCATCTAGAAGTGACTTACAAACATGAAAAACCAGTAGATATTAAAATAATCAAAATAATAAATAACAAGAGTAATAAGTACAGTTAAAAGATGGGGAGAACCAGAGCACAAAGTACGTGGAGTCCTCGAATTACGGCCGCCGTTGAGCCAAAAATGTCCACTGCTGAAAAACACAGTTATTAAATGAATTTTGCCTCATGTTACGACCTTTCTTGCCACTGTTGTTAAGTGAAGCGCTGCAGCTGTTAAGTTAGTAACACGCTTGTTAAATGAATTTGGCTTCCCCTTTGACTTCGCTTGTCGGAAGGTTGCAAAAGCTGATTTACGGGACCCCGGGACGTTGTAATCGTCATAAATATGAGTCAATTACCAAGTATTTGAATTTTGGTCACGTGACCATGAGGACGCTGCAGCGACCGTAAGTGTAAAAAGCAGTCAT